ACGAATTTGAAAAATTGAGGCTAAACTTTTCAATATGCGCAAACCGTGACTGATCTCCTTTAAACATCCAGTTAAAAGTTGTGCCATTGTTTTAATGGCTTTTGTTTTTACATGTTAATATATGGATTTGTTTTCTCGTCAGGAAGGAAACTGCGTATGTTCTTAGAAAGCTTCAAAGCTGGACCAGTGAATCTGGATTTAACGTACACTTTCCTGGTAAGACTAAGACTGTAAATCAGAGTTAATTCTCTGAACCTTCTTTTCAAAAGCCCTTTCAGTCTTCAGACGTCCCAAAGTAGTGTCTGGGATAAATTAATGCCTGGCTGGATTACTCTTGGACTCGTGATCCAGTGCATATGCAATCCGCCGGCAAACATCATAACTCCCTCCACCCATACTACCTACAACTGTAGTACCTGCAAGTTCAGTTGTTAAATAAAAAGGCTGGGGCATTGGGTAGTTGGAGGGCTACCTCCATCTCAACCCCCTGGTGAGAACCCTGAAAAAACTCGGATGGGGAACCCCCCAGGGTGCATTCCATGTGGGTTGCACCGAAGATCGTCGGCGTGGCTTTCAAAATTTTGCGGCGCACGGGCGTACGATTGGCGTTTTTGGTGCATAGCGGCGCGCACATTTATAGTTGCCGGTGCTGGTGTATAAACGCTTAACTACGGCCCTGATTGGTTAAATTTAATTAGTTAATTTAATTCGGGTTTTTTTAACAGTTGAAGTTCGATTTGTGAAAAAGGATGACATTTACATGAGTCCATGCTATGAGCAAGACATGTGTTTCATCAACATCTTATCATTCAGGTAAGACGACACAATTAAATTTGCAAATGCAGACTCAACATTGTCCTTGTCGCTGTTACACTACTTTTTTTTTTACAGTCGCAGAGTTTTGTACATCGCTGTGTTTTTATTTAAAATTTCTTGTTGAGATTGGAGCCCAAGATTTCACGATCCCGGCTGACAAACGCGCACAGCATACTAGCTACACCTTGCTCTGACGTAGGGGTAACAGTCCATAAGTCAGCTTGACTATAAACTCGCTATGGCGGTGAAAAAAGTGCTAGCTTTTCTTTTGTCTTATTTGCATTTCTTTTTTTCTTCTTTCTTGGTTTAAATAGCTGTGTCATTCTATACAGCTTATTTCATTCAAAACTAAAACAAGGTTATTTCTTTGTTTTGTGACCTATTTCTACAGACCGTACAATAAATGCATTCCACATGAAAGTTACTGGACGTACTTTGAGGACCTCATGATGTCAGTGGGCGGAAAGCCCCACTGGGCAAAGGTAAGACATGACACCCTGACATTCTTTCGTCATTTCTGTTTGGTGTGACTGATCATTAAGCCTTTCAGAGACAACAAGCCCAGTTGCACTCAGTAACTGACTGGAGCAAGACTTGAATGTTCAACCTTGTTTCCAGGGCTTCCCCTGTGGAAATTGAAAGGAGCCACGTCGACGGATGAAGGGCATGGATTCGACCTCTTCCTGCTAGGGCCTTGAGCATCTTTTGAGTGCTGAGTGCAGTCGGTGATGAAAATCGCGGAATCAACTCTGTTGAAATTTTGAGTGCTGGAAAATTGTGAGCTTTAGCCCGTGAAAGTTAGGCTAAGAGAGTGAATTTTTCTTTGCCTCATTTGGTTCCCCGTTGCTTTTCTTAGGGTTGACGCTCGGTGAGAAATTTCACAGATAATTTTCTGTACTCAAAATTGCTACAGAGTTGATTTTCTATCGTGCAGCTTGTTTCACATGAGTACTGCGTGGCTCTATAATAATATACCATATAGGGAAAAAANTGACATTCTTATTTCATTTCTGTTTGGTGTGTTCATTAACCCTGTCAGAGCCCGTGAAAGTTAGGCTAAGAGAGTGAATTCTTCTTTGCCTCATTTGGTTCCCCGTTGCTTTTCTTAGGGCTGACGCTCGGTAAGAAATTTCACAGATAATTTTCTGTACTCAAAATTGCCACAGAGTTGAGTTTCTATCGTGCAGCTTGTTTCACATGAGTACTGCGTGGCTCTATAATAATATACCATATAGGGAAAAAAGGGTGGTTAAGGATGGAGAAGATTATCGCGGATTACAAACGACGAACTTGGAAAATTTAGGCTAAACTTTTCAAGATACGCACACCGTGACGTAGCTCCTTTGAACAAAATGCCTGCATACTCCATGCATTCAACTGAATGCTGCTGTTACTTTTTTCAGGCTCACAAATTGACATACACAGAGATCGAGAAAATGTACCCAAAGATCGACAAATTCCGAGAGATCTGCAATCAGTTGGACCCTCAGGGCTTGTTTCGCAATGAATACTTGGAGAGAGTGATCTTCGGTCCATCACAGCTATCTGAAAAGGTTGAGAATGGGAAGTTGGCGAGCTCAAAGAAACTGTGTGATCACCTGTCAGCGCCTCATACTGTCAGCCCAGGGTTTTGAGAACCGGTACAGCTTCTGTTTGCTGGCTTCCTGGTATTTCTGTTACTTCTGGTCTATTTCAGAACGTTATTTGTAGGGTTTTATCTGAACTCAACGGGTGTTATAAGTAATTGCCGTGTTATTTCACGATATGTTATAAGTTGACTGGTAACTGTATTGAGCACTTTCTAGTTCCTATGGTTTGACAGATTAATGCTACTTCCATTCACAAGTTGACGCTACAAAAATGATATCAAACTATTGCCCAATCATTAGTAGTGCTCATTAAAATGTGCGAAAATTTAAGGTGGCTCTGAACGCCTTTCTCAGAGGCTTTTTATACTTTGCAAAAAGTTCTACCTGAGCTCGCTGAGTTCATTTTTGAGTTATACTGTTGCTATCATAACCTGTTAAGTCAAATAATCTTATGGGCTCCCGAATGACGGCAACTTTCTTATTCGTTTGATATCATTCATTTAGCATCACTGATAACGATATGCAATATTTATCCTCTAGAAATTCGTTACCAGCCATCTTCTGATAGTTTCGCGTTCTCTTCTTGACTTATCATGTGACGTCACGCATGTCACACAACGCTCCCTCGTTGCGTGACGTCCCAAGGAGACTACCATAACCCCCGCTGTTGAACAAGGTGTCGCTCAAAGGTTAGAAAATAGGCGAAAATGAAGAAGTTTGGAAAAGTGCGGAAATATTCAATACATCACAGAAGCAGTGAAGATAATCGTTTGCCATGGTGAAATAGAATATAGCCCCTATAGGCCTATACAGCTGGTATTAAAGCTGAGGGTGAATTATATTTTCATACAACGAAGATTCTAGGGCACGTATGTCTAGTATGTTGTGTTGCCAGCGCAATCGCGCGCCCCCATTCTCAGATGTAAATATTTTCGCTTTTTGTTGCTATATTCTAAACCAAATCGAAGATGGTGTTACTGTGTTTTGTAAGGAAACAAGGCACTTTTGTGGTCCAGAAAAACTGCTGAAAACGGTGCCCTTACAAGTGCGTACGTTAGCCGTTTTTCTAGACCTCAAGCCTGCATTATTTTTGTAGAGAACAAAGCATACCACTTGGAAAATAGTGAACAGTTGTGTACGGAAAGAAAATTATGAAGTCTTTACGGCTAAAATTGAACCATTTTTTCCGGAACACTTGCATGAACAGTTCAACAGCAATTGGCTGTCAGTAATAATGGAGGTTCCCTTGACCATTATTTATGTCATTCAACTATTTAAAATAGGGTGATCTTCGGTCGATGTTTTTTTTAAAGTGCACATAATATTTAAAACGTAAGATGTAAAGAAACGGCAGGCTAGATTGTAACAAAAGTTGGTTAAGTTGCATTAAATGAGAAGAGTACAACTGAGAACGTAAGAGAATACAGTTAAATATCTTTAATTCGGATACCAAAGGTACAGAGTTCAGTGTCAGGTGTCCGTGTGGCAGGGGTTTCATTAAGGGCCGGGCACCGGGCTTATTGACCGACTGTGAGGAAAGAAGCTCTGTTCCAAAAGTTTTGCCCGCCTGTGAAAACCACTTGCCCTTCTGCTGAAAGCGTTAGTGAAGCCCCTGGGTGTTGTTGAACTAGAGATGATATGAATTCTGGTTTCTCCTTGCATGAGACAAAGTGGACTGTCCGTAGTAATGAGGTGTCCTATTTATGGAGGGTTTCCGTAAAGAGAGATTGGGCTGTATATAATAGATTTACAATATTTCCGGTGGAACTCAAGTAGCTGGACTCACCTACTGGTATTCTAGGAAAGTCAAGCCATCTTGACAATATTTCAACTTGGAATTACACATAAGTTGAAAGTCTCTATTCTACTTTGCATTATGTGATTTGTGCAGTAGAGGGTTTTTCAATCGGGTGTCGTAAAACCAAAACCAAAGTACTCACTCTAGCCAATCATAAGGGACACGGACAGCACAGTGAACCAATCAAAACTCGAAACAACTACATGTAGCTGACGTAAAGCGCGGGAAAACTTGTGCGAACGAGTCACAGCGGGGGGCGGGGGGGGGGGGTTCCAGGTTACCCCTGATTGGATGAAAAAGTGGCGGGATTTTTTTAAAGCAATCATGTGTCGTAGCAATGCAAAATCAATTACTTTTCGACACTCAAATAAAAACCACTCTAGTTCGTATAGTGTGATCGTCCGGGTGAGGGTAGTTCTGAAAAGAACTGTTGTTGGTGACTGACGTTTCGACAACCTGAGCGGAAGTCATCTTCAGAGTGAAGGTTCAAACCATTTGTAGTCTTCAGAGTCGTCTTCAGATTCAAGGTTCAAACAATTTACTATGAATTTACCACTCTATTTTGTAAATGTAAGTAGCCTCGTATGGCTATACAGTAGTCGCACTTATGAACTCTTTGACTTAAATTTGGGAACAGTGGCGAAGAAATAGAGTGTATTATCTGTAACCAGATAGCTTTAAAGGTGAAGAATAGTTTAGTGAAATAAGTTATTAACTCCAATTAAGCGTAAATTATATTGCTCTGGAATATTATTTGAGTCAGTAATGTGTAAACGCCTGATAAGTTAATTACTCAGTACGCATACTGTTATGATATCGTCCTGGCATGAACCGGACAGTCAAAGTTTTATGGCTGTTTCATTGTAGTTTAACGTAACATTGGTTAGAATGTAGTATACGTTACAATAATACAGTGTATGTTTCAGCACGAATTTATTGGGGTATGGTTTTTAAATACAAAAAAGGAACGTAATTGTTCAAAATGACGTGTTTCAGTTTTTTTACAATCTTATGATTACTGTAAATCTCAACAGGCAATTTGCATGATGGTGTCATTTGACTACAACTACTAGAATCCTTCACTTTTTCTGTTTCTTGCGCTAATTCGGGCAATTGTTATTAAAACCCCACTAGGAATTCAAAATTTAAATAGTAAAGAAAAAACGAAAGGAATTCTGGTAGTTATAGTCAAATAACGACATCGTGCAAATCTGCTATTAGGGAGTTTACGAAACCACGACGGCAACGGCAACGGGAACGTCACTGAACAAAAGAATTAACGAGCAGTACAATGGCTGTGCACGTGCGTTATAATTCTTGGTACATTTCTTTGCCGTCCTTTGCAAGACAACGTGAAATGACCAAATTTTGCGTTGTTTGGAGAACGTGAACCACGACGGTTTATCGCTGTGTTCCAGAGTTAGTTTTGCCATAGTTTTGACAGTGATAAACAAAGTAAATGACTTAAGAGTATCGCGAGATTCGCAGGTAAAATATAAATCCATTTTTAATCGACGTTGTCCTCGGCGTCGCCTTCGTGGTTTCGTAAACTCCCTATTGTTAACTCAATGTCCTGCAGTATACAAAAAAAAACAAATCGGAGTCTTCAGTACATAGAGCGCTTTTCAATTGAGCGTGTTTAAACCAAAACCACGTAATTACTCTGGCCAATCACAAAGGACAAAGACAATACAGTGAGCCAATCAAAACTTGAAGTAA